TAAGTTTTTATTGCTATTAAAAATAGTTTTATTATAGGAAAATATCCCTCTATTCCTTGATTCTCTCTCATACAGACATCTTTAGACACGACCGTCTTCGACGGAATTCTTAGTATAAGTTATTAGCGCTATTCTGGTGTATGTATCAGAAACCTTATCAAGCTAGCTTGCCAAATGCGTGCACCAGTCAAGACATTCATGCCTTTGTCTTAAAACGAAGTGCCAAAAAATAAAAATAAATAAACAACTGGAGCCTGCTTTCCCTCCCTAAGATCATAGCCTCTTTAGGTCCTTAAAGCGGCCATGAAACGAATTTTGGGCTTGAATAAACGATTTTAAATTGTGACTTTACTAATCGCATATCGTTTAGTTGGCCAAAAGAAAGACAGTAGAAAGTAAACAGCCAGCTTTTCGGTACGAACATTTGAAAATATAGTGGACTGTTTTGTACCTTCTTTCCTTCGAAAGCTCTCCGCCTTTTCACTATGATACATCCGCGGTTCCCAAAGCGCGTCAGCGGTGCCAAACTGACGTCAGCCGACCCAGCTCACGCATTGGACACGGGAACTGCGTCACTCGGACGTATGCGCTCGTCAATAATAAATCCGTCAACGAATATCCAGATTCGCGTTCGTGGCCAATAAGTGCCCTGACTGAACTTTTCGTCAGTGGGGAATGACAAGTTCTATGGTGTGCATGAAAAGCACAGTGGAAGCTAGGAGTCATCGCACAGGTGCCGAAGAATGTCGCAACGACGTGATTTCACAATTCGCATTTTAGTTGAGGATTAAAGCTACGGAGGAAGAAGTAGAAAAATCGGGTCATAACCCCGAGACTAAAACGCGGGTATAACGAGATGAAAACGCGAGGCTTTCGCACATCGCAAAGCCTGACGTTTTCGTCGTGGAATGCGCGTGCCGGGGAGAAATCCGCGGGATTTCTCCCTCGTGTGAATACCCCTTTAAGGTGTATCCACACGACGGACCGGGCCGCGGACCGATTGATCACGTGATGCGCGGCCCGCGGGCCGCCCGGCTGCAATGAGCATCTACACGGCGGACCAAAAAAGCAGACGACAGAGCAAACGGGCCCTCGACCTCACAACTCCGCCGAACGCATGCAGCGAGCTGCTTTGAGGCTATTTGTAAGGAGCCAAGATGGAGGTTGAACGAAAAAGACGTTTGGCTGCGGTGGTCCTGGCGTTGACTGTTGAGGACGAGGAAGCCGAAAAAGCCATGGGGACATCTTTAGATGATTATTTGAGTAGTCGTCGCGACTATTGTCCCACAGAGCGGGGAATCGCTCCATAAGCGCGATGAAGTGAAAAGTTGCATCGTCGCACAACAAAAGGTTCGTTTCTTCGTCTTCAACAGTTGGCGCCAAAAGAGAACGACTTTGGCTTTGGATTCCAATCCAAACAACAAAAGTCAGCTTGTTGCCAGACTTAGCGCTTCAATTATACTAAAAACGCCGCGGTCCGCCGCCAAAGTCCGGACGAGAAAGTCGCTTTGGCATTTCTCAGAAGCGCGCGCGCGGACCGCCGGCGGACCTCAAAGAACGGTGAGGAAAGATCACGTGATGCGCGGCCCGCGGACCAAAACAGCAATTTGGCCCGTCGTGTGAGTACACCTTTAAGGGAGATTCACACCCGATTTATTTGTAGCCTTTTCCTCATAGATGGCGCGGAAAGTTTCCGGAACAAACGAGTTGCGTGTTCGCAGCTGCGCATGCAGGTCGGGCGCTCGGGGTGGGCTTGTGTCACGGGCTGCTCGCCGCCGACCTCGAGCTAGATCTTCTTCTCCCTGCGTCCACCGCTGCCGGAAGCGGCCGACGGGCGGCGCGAAATACGAGCCAGTCAAGACGTAGATTATGGTGGCTTACATACCGTAGAGCAAGGAGGAGGAGGAGGAATAAACGTCTTTATTTGCCTGCAGAGCTAGGTCAAGCCTAGCCGGTGCGGCCCACACCATCCGACGCCCCAGCGCAGGGGGCCCGAGGTCGGACCTGCCTGCGCAGTAGACGCCGGGCCTGCTGGACGACCGCTACCTGGAGGTCCAGGCTACTAGCCATCACCCCGGCTTTGATGTCCGGCGGAAGCCCACTCGACGTGGCCGCCTCCGCCGGCCGAGTTTCACAGTCCCACAACACGTGCTCCGCAGTTGCCCGCGTACCACACAGCACGCACTTATCACTTGAGTACACCTCAGGCGCCACATAGCGCCCCACCACAGGAGTAAACACGCACTCCACCTGCAACTGCCGCAACAGCACGGCATCCTCCCTAACCAAATCCCCGTGGGGCAGCGGGAACACCCGCCGTTCCTCCCTCCTGGTCCATAGCACTTCCCCAAAGCCGCTGGGCAAATACTCCGCGGCGCCCCCGAAGGCCCGGCCAAGCAGTTCTCGGGCCCTTCGGTCAGCATCCACGTTGCCCGCTTCGTGAGCGGGGCACCACACAATGTCCACCGCGCCCGTCGGACGCAGCAGCCTCTTGGCCACCACCCCAACGCGTCCACGCGCAAAGTTCCTTATCGCACTCATAGAGTCACTCATGACCACTTTGGTCCCTGGCAGGGAGGCCGCCAAACTAATGGCCGTCTCCTCCACCTCACAAATATTACTAGTTCTAACACTCACACGGAGAGCACCTCCCCACTTCCCGCCTTCACAGCCGCAGCCACCCCCACTACCCCTCGAAGGGCAGCGTCAACGTATACAGTACTATCTTGTCGCCCGTACAACCAGAAGAGGGCCTGCGCTCTGGCCTCCCTTCGTCCCTTATCACGCACAGAATGCATGTGCCTCGGCACAGGCCTAACCCTGACATTTTTCATCACCTCTCCCGTCAGTCCCCCGCCGTCAGACGCATCCTCCGCCAGCAGACCGACACGCTTCAAAACCCCCCCTGCCAGCCGCAGTGCGCTCCAGCCTTTGAATCTGCGAAGCCCTGTGCGCCTCGACAATCTCCCCTATCGTATTGTGCACACCCAACATCTCCAGCTTCTTCGTGCTAGTGAAGGCATACAGCCCCAACGCAGATTTGTAAGCCCTGCGCACCATGGCATCCAGCTTGTTCTTCTCCCCCGCCCTCCAGCGAAGGTAGGGCGCCACGTACATGATGTGACTCAATACAAAAGCCTGAACCATCCTCATCACACCGGCCTCGCGGATACCCTTCCTCCTGCTGGTCACCCTCTGGATCATGCGCAGAGCAGACGCTACCTTACCCTGAATTTTCCCGAGCATGACCGAATTACCCGCCTTCTCCTGAACAAATAGCCCCAGAACCCGCAAAGCGTCCACCCTCGGGACGGGTCCCCCGCCGGCGATCAGCCGCATCTCATCCCATCTACAACGCCCAGCATAACACACGAGCAACTCCGACTTTTCGGGAGCACACTCCAACCCCGAACCCATCAGCGCCTCCTCAATAATCTCGATCCCTCGCTGCAGCGTACCCTGCACCACCTCCTTCCTCCGATTGGTGCACAACAGCGTAAGATCATCCGCATATATAGAGTGCAGAATCCCCTCCTCACAGAGACCGCGGGCGGCCCCCACCATCACTAAATTGAACAAGACCGGAGAGATGACGGAGCCCTGTGGGGTGCCAACACTACCCAGCTCCCCCTCACCAACATCCAAGTCCCCCGCCAGCAGCCGAGCCGTCCGGCCCGACAGGAAGTCCTTAACGTAGTTATAGCTCCGTCTGCCGAGCCCCGCATCCGCCACGCCGCGAAGGATGGCAGAATGCCGGACTCTATCAAACGCGCTGCGCAAGTCCAGACCCAGAACCGCGCCCGGCCGCCTCGGCTCAATCACCTCGTGGTACAACACCAACATCGCGTCCTGCGCCCCCAGGCCCTCCCTGAACCCGAACATCGAGCTCGGGAAGACCCCCTTGTCCTCCAAAAAGGATTGCCACCTCCGCAGTAACATGTGCTCCAGAATCTTCCCCACACAGGAAGTGAGCGAGATCGGCCTAAGGTTTTGGAGCCCCGGTGGCTTCCCACGCTTCGGAATAAGAACCATCTTGGCTTTCTTCCATTCCGCAGGCAGCTTCCCTTCCCTCCAGCACCTGTTGAAGAAATCAAGCAGGGCCTCCAAACACTCCTCAGACAAGTTACCAAGCATCTTATTATCCACCCGGTCCAGCCCGGGAGCCGACCTCCGATTAATCCGCAGCAAGGCAGCCCTAACCTCCCACAGCTCGAAATCCTTATCCAACTCGGCATTGTCAACCCCCGTGTACTCCGGGTGGACCTCCCTGCCGCAACTCGGAAGGAACGTATCCAACAACTGCCTTCTAACCCCTTCCTCACCAAGCTCCCTGACAGCCCGACCGACAACCTCCCCCATTCTCCTACACTGGAAGCTCCTCGTCCTGGACTCGTCCAGCAGGTGCCGCAGCAGCTTCCACGTGTCTCCACTATGCATCTTGCCCTCCGCCCTATTGCACACATCGTCCCACTGCTGCCTGGACAGGGCCTCACAGTGCCTCCGAATATCTTCATTTAACTGCGCCACCCGCTTCCGCAGCGCACGGTTGTTCTTCCGTTCCCGCCAACGGCTCCGCAGAGAGTCCCGGGCTTCGACAAGCGCACCTAACCTGCTATCCACCAGCCCCACATCCTCCGACTCCACCACCACGGGCCGCTCAGCCGACCTGGCAGCGTCCACCAAACTCGCGGACCATTCCCCCAAATCGCTTATCTCCCCCTCCGGACCCAGCCGCCTGAAGGCATCCCAGTTCACCAACCCCTGGGGTCTAAACTCCTTCCTCCGAACCGCCAGGGGAACCGAGAGCTCCACTAAACGGTGATCGCTACCCAGATCCTCCAGCGCGTTCCCCCTCTCCGCCCCGGGAGCGTCCACGAAGGCTAGGTCCGGGGTGGTATCCCTCTCAATCGCGTTCCGCGCGGGCCGCGTCGGCACCCCCGGATCCGTGACGAGGATCAGCCCCACCTCCTCCGCGTCTTGGAACTAATTCCTCCCCTTGACCGTGGTAGCCGCGTGGCCCAAGAACTCGTGCCTAGCGTTAAAGTCCCCGGAAACGACTAAGCCCCTGCCATCGGCCCAACGCGCACATCCATGCAGCAGATTCCTGAACCTCTGTCTGCCGAAACGCGGATTACTGTACACGTTGCACAGACAGACTCCCAATCTACCCACTAACACCTCGGTCAACACCCTCTCGACGTTCTCGTCCCCCTTAAGCTCGTGCACTAGGACCGGAAGACTCCGCCGCACGAACGTGCAGACCCCCCTGCGGCGGCCCGCAGGACCCCCACTAGACCGGTACGTGACGTAGCCGGGGAGACTCACATCCTCCTGTACCACCTCCTGAACCATTATCACATCCGGCTTAACCCCCCTACCCTTAATGTACTGCTGTAACCTGGCCCTCTTACTCCTAAAACCGTTACAGTTCCAGACCCAGATATTTAAGGTTGATGCCATTGTCCCTCTGAATTTCGCTGTAAAGTACCCTGCATCACCGTTAGCACCTTCATGATCGAATCCATTTTCTCGTTAAGCTGTTTCACTCCGTCTTCCACCAGACCTACACGGCCCTCAATCTCCTTAAACCTGTCCTCAACACCCTCCCCCCTACGTCTGCGAGCCTCCACACTCCTGCGCTTGGCGGGAGGGGCGGAGTCCTCCGGTCCCGAGGGAGGAGCCGAACTGTCCAGCCGACGAACCAAGCCCTCGACCAGTGCCTTCAGCTCCTCCACGGTCTTCACTAACTTCTTGTTCTCCCTTCTCAGCTCCACGACCTCAGCAGCTTGCCTACGATTCTCCTCACGCAACTTAGCAACCTCCCCCCGATCAGACTGCACCGCCTGGGCCCACGTGACCTGATCACTTGTGCTCCTGCTGCGACTACGTGCCGCCGGCCTCTCAGACTCGCGCGACCTCGAGCGAGACCTCCCCAGCCTAGGGTATTCTTCCGCAGAACCCCGCGGGGGAGGAGACGGCCGATCCCCGGACAGACCCCGCTCCGCTCTCTCCCACAGCCGCCTACGAACGATGTACGGCGTACGAAACCGATTCTTACACACCTTATCCCCGGTAACATGCGGACCCCCACACAAGCCACATCTGGGACTACACGCATGTCCCGGGTCCGGAGTTCCGCCACATCCCAAGCACCGTCTGACGCCGGGGGTTGGGCACACATCAGTTCGATGACCGACACGGCCACACGTCTTGCACACCTCATAGTGCTTCCTGTACAGGGAGCACCGCAACACACTCCCGCCGTAGAACACCTGATGCGGCGCTACGTCACCCCCAAAGATCACCACGACCGTTGCCGAAGAGCCGATACGCTCCGCCGCTCGCACCGTCGGGTTCCTGGGCCCGATGAGAAGTCGCTCAATCTCCTCCGCCGTATGGTGCACCGGGACGCCACGGATCACCCCCTTGACGGTGTCAAAGGGAGCCGTGACGTAAGCCCGCACTTCGTAGGACCTCCCCGCCACGCAGATACACGTCACCGCAGCATACTTGACCGCCCTGGCGTCGCTCCCCGTACTGATGACCACCACATTTTGCTGCACGTTCGGGCACTGCGTATCCAACGAGGCCTCCTCCTCCGAGATCCCAGCCACCGCCCGGATTGCGTCCGCCACGACGACGATCGACGTCTTCCTCAAATCCAGGCCACCTCGCGGCCTCACCACCACCTTGCTCTCGCCCTCCAGTCCCACTCTCGGCATCCTCCCCATGCGCTCGACCTTCTCGATGACCTTCCGGGCCACGTAGGAACTAGGCCTGGGCTCCTTCTCCACCTGAGTACCCCCGCGTGCCCGAGCGCGCATCCAGCCTGCACAAAAATCAGGGTCGACGTCCTCCCCGACCATCGAGACGACCGTCGGACCGCCATTCTTGGCCACATCCACCGTAGAACCGCCGAGAGGATCCTCCATGTCGACGTGCTCGAGTTAGGCCTAGCGGCCCCACCCGGCCGGCGAACACGCAAACTCCCACAAAATCGCCAAAAATCGACACTCACTCACTGCCGATACCTCCCCGTGACCGGGAAGACTTGCTCGTTCGATTGGCACCGAAAATTCCGAGGTGTCGATGATTTGGACGCAATAAATCGATCAGCAATACGGGGACGATGCGAAGCACGTCTTCCGTAGGTAACAGCAGACAGCGCCCCCCCCCCCCCCCCCCCCCCCTTTACCGTAGAGCAAGCTCTGATTTCCGACTGAATTCGAAGTTCCCGCCATGTTCGAAATTATCGAAAGTACAGGGTGCCGCGGTGCGGCTGTACAGATCAGCGCATTTAGCACGCCTCTAAAAATTCAAATTTTACGTACCTGAAACTAAACGCGCTAACGTCGTTTTGCAAATTAAAAAAGAAATGTATGTCTATTTTTAAGACCTTAAATGAAAGCTAATGAAATTAAAAAAAAAAAAAAGAAAGAACTAAAACGGCAGTTTTGCGTTTCCTATGTTTTGCATCGGCCTGCTCTTCGCCTGCATACTGGTTTGCAAACTCGCTCCAGGGGGTGTGGGGAACAAAAAAAACGCCCAGAACGCCATAGGAGAGGTTGGCAACGAGAAAAATAACCGCGATAAATAATGATTTTAATGAATGTATGAACGATGATGGAGTTTCAGTTCACATTTCACAACAAAACGAAAAAACTTTTTTGTATGATAAAAAAAAAATCTAAAGCCGACGAATGTTTGTTTTATTATTGCAGTCTGCTATCCGTTCACATATCTTCTGGAGCGAGTTTGCACATCTGGGCACGGAAGTCGAGTGGGGAAGACCTAGAAATGCTACACAAGTAAAAACAATCCCCCCCCCCCCCAAAAAAAAAAAAAAAAGGAAAGAAAGTACATGTGTGTGTGTTTTTCCCCACAAAAAAACTACGCATCGCCGAATGCTGATTCTCCATCAAAATGTAACGCTAGAAGTCTGAACCAGACGCCAAAGTTTCAGCAGTGACCCTTATCCCCTTAAGAAGTTATGAGCGATATTCTGAAAGTTTTATTGGGGAAATGGCGGCAGACCGACCTCTTGAATACATCTCTATGGGCGCCAGTCACCGAAGACCGGGGTGAAAATCGGCACCATGTTCCCATTGAATGTTTCAGAATATGTGTTTATAACCTTTGCATAAGATAGCGGTTAGTGTTGTTGAAACCTTAGCACCTGGCTCAGACCTCTAGCGCTACTTTTGGGCAAAACATAAACGTATAACAATGCTTCTTTTTTTTTTTTTTTTTTGCTGTTTAAAAAAACGTGATTTTCTTTGTTGTTGTTGTTGTTGTTTTGTTTTGTTTTTGCTTTTTCTTGGGGGGGCGGGGGGGGGGGGGGGGGAGGGGAGGGGGACGCTTTAATTTTCGGAAAAAAGAGAACCATGTTTTTTCGGCCAGGGAAAATAAGCAATGCAGAAAGCTCGAACCGAACACCTTGAGAGCGTGATAGTAGTTGGGAAACAACGCGGAAGTTTAAGAAACATGACGTTACTTGGATCAAACAACGGACCTTTCCCGCATTCCGATGGCACCAGGTGGTGGCTACACGAACTGAAAATCGAAGAAGTGACCTTCCTGCGCTACCATTCGATAATGGGAGCTACGCTACCAGTTTATTCGCTCTGAGCTGCGGCACGTGCCCAACGCGACTTTAAAAAGGGGCATCCGTGGCGTCCACCCAAACGCCGTGTATTACTTTCCGTCCACTTTCTTTTTTTTTTGTGTGTGTGTGTAACGCAATCATATATATGCTGCAATTATGTGTTCTACTCGCGGATCCACAGCCTCCTTCTGAATTTCCTCGATTTTTTGTGCCGACTTCCGCCGCTTGGCATCGGGCGCTCGCGCGTGCGCAAAACGCTTCTCGGGAAAGGTCCATTGAGAAACGCGAAAAGTTTCTTTGAGCCGACGTCCACCTAAGCCTAACATCGCCAAAACAAGAAGTGACACTGTAGGCTCCCTGTAGCACCTATTTCAGTAAAAAAATTAATAAAAGTAAAATCTTGTCAGCAAGAAAGAAAACAATATTTTCTTTCTTGCTGACAAGTGTTTTTCACTGACATAAATCCCGCAAGCGTTCACAATGTCAAGTTGGCGAAACTGGGCTTAGGTAGACGTCGACTCAAAAACAAAATTAGTGTTTCTCAATCTTTTTTTATTTTATTATTTATTCCATATAATGTTTTTTTTTGTTTTTTTTTAAGCTTTCGGTCTATCTATCCGAATCACTAGCCTCATATTCTCACAGAGTTTGAGCATTCTTCGATGCATAGCCTATTTACCCGGGCCTAAAATCACGGTTCTCTTTTCTCGGAAACGTCCTCATTTTGCTGTCTAGTGGCACTGTTCTAAGCTTGGGAGCTACAGGCTTATTATGCTTCTGTTTTATATGTGGTGCATTCCCTAGACCCTGACAAAGTTGCGCCAAGCTCCCCTTATGGTCGCCATTTTGGTGCATGATATGAGCAGTTTCTTCTTGACTTTTCCATTCTTGGTGAACAGATTCGAAATCCGGGGGACAGGTTCTTTATAAACATTTTCCTTGTATGCCGAGATTTTGTTATTTACACACCAGCTAAAAAATTAAGGACGCATCTTCGCTCCTCCACTATATGGAGCGCCGTTGCTTGGCGGCATTGAAAAATATTTTTTTCTGCCTTGACGAACAAGGGTTTTATAAGAGGTCTGTCTAGATAGGCACGATTGATAAATTGCTTGCCAATACCAACGGTGCTTATAGTGGCGGGGAACTCCTTCACTGAGATGACACTCCTTAGCGTTCTTGGCGCGGCTTGTTCAAATCAATCCTTTCGAAACTTCGAAGATTGGAAAAGACCGAAAGGGCGATCGCCATGGCAAAAGAGACCGATCAGTCAATTGCCTTGCAAGGTTTTGGTCGTCTGTATGTTAGTATATGTTTATGTCCTGCAGCCAGACAGCGAAGGCAATGGCGCTACTCACACAGGATCCAACGTCATAATGGTTTTGTGGCGCCCTCTTAGGGTTTCTATCCGTGACATCACGACAAAGATTTGCCTTGCCGTGGCGGCACGAGTTCTGACCCTTTTTACTTACCATGAGATGCGACAAGTAAAATGGTGTATTTAAAAAGCATAGTAGAAGCTAGGAGTCATCGCGTTTTCAGACCGATAACCGTCGAAGTTAACATTGACAATGCTCTTATGCCCGTGGTTTGGCCAATCGTGAAAAGCCGAAATGCACCAAAATATATTTTAGGCTGTATTTTTTGTATCGCCAACTTTTAACCATCGATGTATCTTCCTGCAATTTTCAAGAAATCATGACCCGCTAAAAAAAATCAAACTAACGTTTTTCGTTTTTTTTTTTTTTTTTTTTTTTTCTTAAGAAGGATGGAAATGTTGTGAAGTAGATGCGAATGCTTCGTTATTGTGCACACCAAGGTTCGTTTTGGACGTCTTATCTTTGGTCATACGTGACAGCCTGCTCTGTTCTCCAAAGATAACACATGTTTTCCAGCACTTCAATGTCGACCGTCCACGTAGATTCCAAAAGTTGAAGGTGCTGCCGGCAAGTGCAGACTAAAGTCCCTCGATAAAATTCACGCTTTCAAGTACCGCCAACTCTTGTTGTGGAAACGCGCAAGACACGCGCCAGGAGCGGGTGCTCCGCCGCCATCCGTTTCCAAGGGCAACTCATTTCTGTGCTGCGCCGCCATCTGTTTTCAAGGGCCACTCGAGGCAAAGACCTCGTGCACTGGCGCGTTTGACGATACTTGCAAGACACACGCAAACACATCAAGAAACCTTAGTCTAGGCAAAAAGAAAAGAAGATAAAAAAAATTGGGCTGTGGGCATGTTTATACAGTCTAAACTTAGTCTGCATCAACGGGCGACTTGTCACTCAGCTGTAGATGAGCAATTTGGCCAGTTCAGTACAACCACAAGCCTGGGGTATTTAACGTGCACCACGAGATAGTGATAAGAAACCGCACGCCGCTACGATGCCTATTCAGATCGAAACGGACAGGGGTGGGGATTGAATTAGTCCAGACAGATAAAGTAGCACCGGTTCATTCGACCGTGATATTCAATGTTGAAAGAGGTGTTCATAACAGACAAGAGCATAGTGGACTCTCAAGGTTTTTTACTACGACACTTAACTGATATTGAGGTTCATGTGAATTTGCCTAAAAATTAGAAGGGTAAAAAAAAAAATTCACGCTTCACCTTTGGTAGAAAGGTATTTCCTACCTATAAACCACTTGCTATTAGCAACGTGTGCGACCAAAAGCGTTCCTGCGGTCAGCTTTCCACGATTGGCCAAACCACGGGCATAAGAGCATTCTCAGACTGTCAACTTCGACGGTGTCAGTTTCGGTATGCGATAGCTTCTAGCTTCCAGTGTGGTTGTTAAACACACCACCGAACTTGTCATCGAAACTACTCGTGACGTCACGGCGAGGCAAATCCTGGTCATGACGTTACGAATCGAAACCGCAAGAGGGTGCCATGGAAACATCTCGGCTAAAGCCCCTTAATGTGTTTGCGCTTGGCTTGCAAGTAGCGTCAAATGCGCGAGTGCACGAGGCCCATGTCTCGAGCGGCCCTTGGAAGCAAATGGCGGCGCAGCACTGAAATGAGCTGGCCTTGGAAGCGAATGGCGGCGGAGCACCCGCTCATGGCACGTGTCTCGCGCGCTTCCACAACAATGGTTGGCGGTACTTGTAAAAAACGCTTTTATCAAGGGGCTTTAATCTCGGCGTTAATATTAGCTAATATTACCCAAGCATCAAGGAGAATGCATGGATTGGTGTTCCACGCGCCACACGCGCACGCCTTTCCCGTATAAAAGATTCGAAGTAGATAACCAAAATAAAGCGCTGACGAAAGCACGTGCAAGATGCCATTTGTTTTAGGTATTTGCTTTAGAAAAGTCACTACTGCTGAGG